AGAGAGACAGAGAGAGAGAGACAGAGAGAGAGAAACAGAGAGAGAGAGACAGAGAGACAGAGAGAACCACTGGGCCTGGCTTGAGCATTTGAAGCCCCAAAGTCGACCCCGAGTGACACTCTTCCTCCAATAAGACCACATTTACTCCAACAAGGCCATGCCTCCTGACCCTTCTCAAGTGGTGCCACTCCCTGATGACTGAGCATTCAAATATATGAGCCTATGGGGGCATGTAGGTGATTGTGGTGTTTAAATAAGAATGGCCCCCAGGGCTGGAGAGATGGCTTAGAGGTTAAGAACACTGGCTGCTCTTCCAGAGGTCCTGAGTTTAATTCCTAGCAACCATGTGGTGGCTCACAACCAAATATAGTGGCATATGATGCCCTCTTCTGGCATAAAGGCGTACATGCAGATAGAGCACTTACATACATAAAAAATAAGCTGGGCGGTGGTGGCGCACGCCTTTAATCCCAGCACTTGGGAGGCAAGAGGCAGGCAGATCTTTGTGAGTTCGAGGCCAGCCTGGTCTACAGAGAGAGATCCAGGAAAAGCGCAAAGCTCCACAGAGAAACCCTGTCTCGAAAAACCAAAATAAATAAATAAATAAATAAATAAATAAATAAATAAATAAATAAATAAATAAATAAATCTTAAAAAAAAAAAAAAAAGAATGGTCCCCATAGGCTCATATGTTCCACAGTTGATGGAACATTTTGGGAAGGATTGTGTCACTAGGGGTGGGCTTTGAGATTTCAAAAGATTCCCAGTGTGTTCTCTCTCTCTCTCTCTCTCTCTCTCTCTCTCTCTCTCTCTCTCGTTCTCTTTACTTTCTGCTTGTGAGCTCTTAGCTGTTTCTTTTCTCTGCCACCATGGATGCTAACCCTCAGAAGCTGTAAGCTAAACTGCCTTGGTCATGGTGTCTTATCAGAGCAATAGAAAAGTAACTATGACAGAAGTTGGTACCAGGGAGTGAACTGTTACTGTAACAGTCTTGACCACACCGTTTATTAGAGGAACATGCAAGACTTTGGACTAGGAAAGCTGTTGAGTGGGATAAGTGGGCCATCCTGGTCAGAACTGGAAGACAGTAGTGCTAAGAGCCATGTTGACTATGGAGGCCCAGCTCAAGGTTTCAGAGGGGAACAATATTAGCAACTGGGCTAGAGACCGTTCTTGTGACATTTTGGCAAATATGGCTTTCTGCCTTGTTCTAACAACTTTCCTGAGGCCAAACTGAAAGCTTTGGACTAATTCCCTTGGTGGGGGAGATTTCGAGACAGCTTACTAGAATGCTGTCATGTGGTTGTTAGTGGTCACTCTCACGCAAGTCTGCAATGAAACAGAGCAAGGGGGGCAACAAGAGACGCAAAATGACAGTCTGAGGAGAAAAACAACGCCAGGAAATTTAATATGGGAGCCAAGGCTTGTTCCGAAAGAGGTGAGAAGAATAGAGGGAGGCCTGGTGCCAGATGGAATAAGGGGAGTGCTGCCCTCACAGCAAGGCCCCACCCAGCCGAGCTTCCAGACTGTAAAAAGGACAGTCCTGAGGGGTTTCCTGTTCCTCAAAAACAACAAAGGAGAGCTGCTGCCCACTGATTCAAGGGGGCAGGCTCCGTCCCGAGCCTGCGTCAAACCTGGCAGGGCTGTTCACACGGTTCTGGCTTTAGAATGGTATGCTCGTGAAGGGGTTATGGGATCTTCTTCTGCAGTTCAGGAGAGCCACTGAGGCCAGCCTTGTGGCAGGGGAGTCCCTTCATGGAAGCCCCGAGAGGCCATGATGTGAAGGTGAAGCCTGGGTTTCACTGGAGACCCTAGGATGTTGGAGATGCCACAGCCGAGGGATGGCTGCCAGGGAGAGATGCATGCAGGACGTGGAAGCAGCCCAAGAGAGAGAAGTGTGCCACAGGCAGCCAAGCTGGGAGAGTGGGGCCATCTGAGCCCTTTGACATCAGACAAGGAGCTACAGGATTGGGGGTTTGCTCTGCCGGGTTTCAGTCTTGCTTTGATCCACTCACCATGCTCAGATGTCTTCCTTTTGAGATGGTAATGTATGTCCTGTGCCATTGTGTGTTGTTGATCCCAGCACTCAAGAGGCAGAGGCAGGGGGATCTCTATGAATTCGAGGCCAGCCTGGTCTACAAAGTGAGTTCCATGACAGCCAGGGCTGTTGCACAGAGAAACCCTGTCTCGAAAAACCAATAAATAAATGAATGAATGAATGAATGAATGAATGAATGAATGAATAGTATGTGATGTGCCTTTTGATTTGATAGGGGATTACAATCAAGAGATTGCCTTGAGTCTCAAAAGAGACTTTGGACTTCGAAACAGAGTTGAGGCAGTCAAAGACTGTGGGGACTCTTGAAGTT